AATACTGAAGAATATGCGTCTGTGAAATATAAACAAACTCTTAAAACGTGTTTATATCAACTTGGCGACGTAAAAGGGATAGAAATATATTTCGGGTACTTTAACTTGTAGGATAGGAAATTGAAATAAACCAAAAATATTCTTTGATGTTTTAAATATATACGAGTGGATTTCAATATATATCAGGGTATTTATAAATGCTACAAAGTAGAGAATTAAGTGGTATTATGGAAAAAGTAGACGGTAAGGTAAGTTCAGAATGAGTTTATTTATTGATTTAGTGTACTCGTATGAAGCCGATAAATTTGAAATTTTACATATATTAAAAGTAATTACTATTTTAATGGGAATAAGCTACAATTAAAGGTTAAAATAAGTTCATTGACGTTTTAATTTCCACTTTGGAAATCGCTCTCAAAATACAAACATTAATAAATTACACAAATTTTGTTTTTTGTTAGTTGGTGAAAAATCCTTCTAATTTAATTTTATCTGACTCATTTATATTGACAATTCAGACATATACATTTTAAAGTGGATCACCTTAAAATGATTTTTCCAATATTGATGAGTTGCATTCACTTTCTTAAACTTTATACTATCTTATGACGAGACTAAGAAGATAGGTGATGATTTAAAAACACATTATGATAGAAATGTGGAAGTGTTACCGAAAAAATTGTCCTGCAAATATAAAAATAAAGTAATATTAAACACGCATATTTAGAAGAAAAAAAAATTAAACATATGGATAACACATTGCACTGTTTACAACGATTTATAAAAGATAAGACCTTTGAGAAAATTACAAACATTACAAAAAATAAAAAGCTTCATCACTACAGTATGATAAATGCTGGACACAGAGCTGCATTAACTTTAAGGAAAACAATATTAGGAAATAAAGGAGATAACAGCTATTAAATAAAAACTGCCGATGATTTTCATATAATTAGTAAAAAGCAATTCGACAAATGTTGTCACCTGTGGAATTTTAATACCATTTGCATACATGGATATGTATGAGTGTTCCTGCATAGCTATGCAATAAAATTAACCATATGCACGCATATTTTGTTTGTTTAAACTTCAACAAATCAGAAGTGAAAGTAAATAAACATCTTTACATCATACAATATCTTATTTTTCAGTCATTAAATAATAGAAAAACGTACAAAAATTAAAAATGTTTTCGTTTTGATTATCTGTCATTATACGTCATTTTGATTTATCATCATATGTTGTCAAAAACTAAATTCAAAAATGCAAGAGCCAAACTTTCTAACCATTTAAAATGGCTTCACTAGAACAAACAAAATTGACTTGTAAAATATAAAATCACAGCATTTATCACAGGTATGTATACTTTCATCATAGATACTTCTATTAAACTAAATATGTTCAATATTTCTTATATAAATATGGTGTATAATAATATGGTGTAATAATTATCATCATTTTGTTCTTTTATCTTATAACTTCTTCAAATCCACGGTACGAAGCTATCTTGTTTTGTTACACGAAAAAAATTCTTTTCTTATTTTAATCTTACCTTTTGTTTCATTCACCATTTTTTAAGTAGGTATATTAACTTAAAATTTTTGTAGTGTGACTACAAAATGTTTTTCAGTTCCTAGAAAACTACCTTTATTCTTTCATTTAGTATTCCCTTTTCATATTTGAAAAGTTTATTTGGTATGCTATCGAAACCTGTACTTTTCCGTTATCCCCACTTTCTTCCCCTCTCTCTATTATATACAGGGTGATTCAAAAAAGGTAATACCGTCTCTGGATAGGTAAAAAACTAAAAATTAATTAGAATTTATTTGCTTAGTAAAAGATTTGTGTAACGCTATCCGTTTTCAAGATAATTAAAATTTGAAAAAATGAAATTTTTTATGAATATATTTTGAAGCTGATACATCCCCTGAATTTGTTTTTATATCTACCTCTAAATGCGTCATGACAATACTTTATAGTCCTTTTCCATCATATTGATAGCACATTATGTATGCACATCCTCAACAGCTCAAAAACCATAGGCGTCACCCTATACTTGTTTTGAAATAAATAAAAAAAAATTAATATTTTAAGATGCAACAATTTATTATCTTTTAAAAAATCTTCTGTAAAATAAGTGTCCCCTAATCTCACTATACCTTTTTGGTGCGTAAAAAACGTCGGTATATATGCCACACGATTATTGCTAATTATAGACGGGTGGTTAACGAGAGAATTCAATGTTTCATGAAATAAATTAATGTAAACAGTAATTTAAAGGTGGTTATTGTTTTCTATACAAGTTATCGCCTGACACAAAAAGAATACCTTCTTTGAACGATTACCTGGAATTACTGATAAGGCTTCACTAATGATAGTTTAAGTAGTTTTTATGCCACATTACAGCTTATGCCAATAATATAAATTAGAAATTGTTTGCATCTTCCATTTAGTTTGTAGATGTACATTGTTCATGTCTTACCTACCTACGTTTTTGGTGTCGATATTTTGTTATTTGCATTTAAAAATGACGTCGACAGCAGGTTTTATCCCAATTAAGTGTAGTTTTAAAGGTGCCTTCAGTCTAAGAGAGAAAAATATAATATTAAATGTACACGATGCACTTGTACATCAACGCTGTTTAAGTAATGTTCGTGAAATCGTTAACATGTGTTCAAATATGACAGGGGTTGGAGAGGCAACAATTTATAGATTCCTAAAAGAAAGAAAAGAAGGATCTGTTTCATCTCCCAAGAAGAGTAGAGGGAGTAAACCCTTGGAAATTGAAGAAATACATAAAAACATGATAAGACGCAGCGTCCACTCATTTTTTTTAACAAAGGACTCCCAACATTGGACACAATCCAAAATTAATTAGAGAAAACGAAGAGTTACCAATCATAAGCAACAAGAAATTATGGGGACTATTGAGAGAGATGGGATTTCGTTGGCAAAAGAATAGAAGAAAATCCGTTTTAATTGAAAAAGAATACATTGTATGTTGGAGAGGAGATTATCTAAGAACTATTAAAAAGTACCGAGAAGGGAAAACAATTTTTTATTTAGACGAAACTTGGCTAAATGAAGGTCATACTGTACCATATCTATGGGTTGATACAAATGTGAAAAGTTCTCGTCAGGCATTCATCGAAGGTGTATCTACTAAAATAAACAATATTCCCGTTGGAAAAGGACGCAGACTCATAATAACCCATATTGGAAACGAATACGGTTTTGTCAATGGTGGATTATTAAGTTTTGCCTCAAAATCAACCAAAGATTACCACGAGGTAACGCTGCTGACTGCTGACGTTTTTGAAGAATATTTTGAGCAAATGTTGAATTTAATTCCAAAAATTCTGTCATAGTCATGGATAATGCTAGTTACCATTCAATACTAGCAGAAAAAGTGCCAACAACGGCATGGAAAAAAGGAGAGATAATCGAATGTTTGGATAAAGACGCAATTGAGTACAAGGAGAATTCGACAAAAAAGGAATTATTACCTATTGTAAGGCAACATAAAGCAGCCTATAAAAAATATATAATTGATGAAATGGCATTAAACCGTGATGTAATTATTTTACGTTTACCCCCATACCACTGGGATCTGAATCCGATAGAAAATATATGGTCTCAAGTAAAGGGTGAAGTTGGACGCAACAACAAAACTTTTAAATTAGAAGACTTACAACAATTATTAGAACATTCCTTATCAAAAGTAACTCCAGAAAATTGGAAAAATGCTTTTAGTCATACTCACAAGGAAGAGAATAAAATGTGGAATTTGGATAATATGACTAATGCAATGCTGGAACCGGTAATAATTAACATTGGAGTTGAAGATTCCTTAGATTCTGAAGAAAGCAGTGAATCTGAAATGGAATTTGATTAAAATAACATTCATTTTTTTGCCCTGTTACGGCCACAAATTATTTTATATATAACCAATAAAATAAACATCTTACATTTCTTGCAAATTCATTAGTACCTGTTAATCTCCATCACTCCAACACTGGCAACTTTATTTAGGGATTAGTAACCCTAAAAACTATTGTATTCTATTCTGCTTCAACCTTTATATCTGGTGGTCATACTCAATTTAAAATTGTTTTCCTATATACTTCTGTAAACTTGTTGACAAATATCTATTTTTCATTTCATCAAATAGGTGATTTCCATGGTTTTATTAAAGCGCTTACCATAAAAACTAGAACATGATCTGCTATATATGAATCCCTATCATCTTCCATGTCTTTAAAACTTTCTATACACCTACTATGCTCATTGTAATGAGGACTTGCCATAATCGCCATTTCATTAAATGTTATAGGTATATGTATCCATTTATTCCATTTTTTAAATTGTTGCTTTTAGTGACTCAAATATTAACTTATTAATTCCTGGGCCCCCAATAGTTTGAGCTAGAAGTCTGTTTAATAATGACTTACTGGGTAAGATAAATAGATTGAAAAGAATACTATATGAAGTATTATATTATATTATAATTTTTTATAATTTTTTATAATTTTTTATGAGTTTATAAATTTATTTATAGTTTTTTATAAATTTATTTAATTATTTATATTTTTTTACGCTAATACGCAGACTGCGCTTATTTGGATACGAGCAATACTATTAACAATTCACAAGCAAATTCCGAAACAGTTCCTGGACACATTTCCAATTCCAAAAGTGATCCAGAGATATTACACCTCCTCCTGAATAAACAGTCATCACAGAAAAGGAAAATTCAGAGGAAGAGACTCCGGGAAAGTTACTAGATATCATTTCGCCTGCACCTGGATTAAAGTGTTGCGTCTGTCTGTTGCTTCTGTTGTTTACACGTTTTTGTATCTTTTTAAATAAAGATTATGACAAAGTTCTAAATTTTGTACGCTATTTCTCCTAGAATTATCCTAAATTATTTAGTAAATAATTAAACTGTTTTAGGATCATATTTTTGTTGATAATCAAAATAGTTATTTTTAAATTTGTAGATGGAAAACGACATAAAAACCATTCTTGAAGAACTAAAGCGAAAACTTAAAGATTATAAGTTGCACCAAGACTCATACTCAGATGTCATACCTACTTTGGAACGCATGGTAAAAGAACATATGACCAGATATGAACAACATGCAATTCCGCAAGAATATGGAGACGAGTATGCAGAAATTTTTATCAAGGCTACAGAACCAGAACCGGAGCCAACAGTGAGCGGTGTTGATGATCAACAATCAAAAAATTTAGGAGACAATAAGAATAATACTATTAAATCAGAAGGAGATAAAAAACAAGCGCCTCCAAACAATGTTACCTCAAACAATAAATCTGCTAATGGAGACAAAAAAAGTATTTCAAAATCTTCTAAAGTTCTTAGTAACAAACAAACTAATAATAACAATAATAATAAAGACAACTGTAATGCTACTAAGACAGTCAAAAACGACAAAATAAAATCTGAGGAAATTAAAAAGTCTGTACCAAAAATGCTACCAGATAAAACACGTACTCAAACAAAGGGTCCAAATAAAATATTGTCAGCTATTGACACTGTCAAAAGATCTGTGACAAATTCAGCTCAAGTGAGGTAAGGTAATAACTTATAATACATACCATCTCGTACTGCTAAATTATTTAGGGATCCTAACGACATAGTGCTGTTTCCGTTCAGCTATCCTACTATTATTCTAGTTGCAGAATATCGATATAGTATATTTTCTATAAGATCTATTTATGCACAGAGTATTCCAAGATACTTTTCTTCTTCTTGTTTACGTGCCATCTCCACGACGAAGGTTGACAATCATCACTGCTATTCTAGCTTTTGACACTGTAGCCCGAAGAGTTCAGTTGAGCTGCATCCAAACCATTCTGAGGTTTCTCAGCAGGACATTCTTCTTCTACCTATGAATTCAAAGAACGTGTTTATAATATTCATATTATTATCTTGGCAGAATTATATCAACATATCTTCTCTTTGATTTCTATTACCTAATCCAAAATTTCCCACTACGTTGCTTATGCTACCCTTTCCAATTTTAATTTTCAGGTTACCCAATATTATTGTGACGTCATGTGCTTTGGCAGTTCTCAATGCCTATTGAATTTGTTCACAGAACGATTCCACTTCTTTGTCATTTTTATCGGCCGTTGGAGCATAGTCTCCGTTGGGGCATAGTCTTCTATTATGTTTATTTTTCTGTCTTTCGTTTCTAGTTGTAGTAGCATAACTCTTTGAAAAAAAGGTAGAAAATTCTGGACGTGTTGTGAGATTTCATTGTTTAGTATTATTGCTACGCCATGTCGATATTGTGTGTCATTATTACTCGAATAGTATATCGTATGGTTTCTAACTTTACATTTTCCATTTCTTATCCATCGGGTTTCACTTATTTCTAAAATATTGATGTTAATTCTTTTCATTTCTTGGATTACATTGTGTGCTTTTCTGGATTCGAACATGCTGGTCACATTCCACGTTTCAATTTTTAAATTGACGGTCTGCTTTTTTCTTTTTCTGGTAGGGATTTCGACGGTTGACGACCAGAAAAGCCCTGACTTCTTTCCTGCCGGATCTTGGTCTCCGATACCCATGATCAGTACATATCTGCTTTCTCTGCCATCTCATTTCATGATGATTTTACTAGGGATATCTTTAATATAGTGGTTTCCCGTTGCCTTCTGTATTCTTATGCCGTTGGCTAATGTCTTTGGGTCTTTCTCCGCCTTTAGGGCCAGTTTCCCAACCCTAGGACAGAGGAGTGCCCTGCCACTTACCAGCTCATCCGCCCGAAGCCGTTGGCCAGTATGTGGGGGGATTGGTTATACCGGCAATCTCTCGGAAGTCAGAGCCTCGTTTGTTATCTGGCACGTTGCACCGAATAGTCGACATCAAGACCATTACATTTGCAGGTGAGGTTGACATTTGGATCGGAAAGTCTATACGTTGCGCATCACTATCCCTTACATCCCAGGTAGGGGATATAAGAGATAGTGAAGCTTTTGCAAATACTTTTAGTAGTCTATAATTCAAGAAGTAATGAATATTTTTATTTGAAAATTGGGAAATGTGAATTGGACCTACGATACTATCAGTTGATGTATACAGAAGATCTGTGATGTTATCATGGGCGCTGTGACGTCATTACAATGGATGATGGGGTGAAGGTTAGGTTTATTTGTGTAGCACAATTATTACAAATACACAAGAAATTTGTTTTTTGTAAACTACAAACACTAAAGTCATTTCTTGTGTTTACTCATTAATACGTTCATTACGGTTTTTAAACAGAATTTTAAAATATCGTGGGTTCATACAGTAGTAAAAATGCGTTTTCTATTCACACCTAACAAATACGTAGATATGTTGTTGATTTATGGTGAATGTAGGATGCTCGAAATACTCAAGCCTTCGCTCAAGGCTTTCGCGAAAGATCGTCGTATCTAACTTTTGCTATGATTTAGGAGAAGATGTGGCAAGGTTCATTTCCGAACGGTAAACATAGAGATCATGTCAAACCAATACAGATCAAACAAAACTTGAGTTTTGTTTGATTGTGAACTTTGGTGAGTGTTTTAGCATGCAACGATTAATCCACATGTGTCCATAAGGTCCATTGCTGCAGAAACTACAGTATCTTCAACTACAGTTCAAAGCATTTTAAAAAATCACCATTTTCATCCATGTAAACTGTGTTGGGTCCTTGAATTTCGAAGAGTAACCTTAATTGCCATGATGCAAGCCATGATGCAAGATACTCACGACTTTTTAAATAGAATTTTTTCAAGTCATAAAGCTCGTTTCCATAATAATGGGAATCCGAATCGAACTCGGTTCGTTGTCGTTAACTACGGCCTTTATATTCTTGCCGGGGTTCAATCTCCAGTGCGTATCGATGGTAGTCGTAGGTCTTTGGTGGAAATGCGGGCATACAGACAGACAACATTGTATAAAAATATTTATTCACAAGTACATTTTAATATTTATTTAATTCTTTTAGACCAAAATCCAGTATGTGGCCTACGGTAGATCGAAATGTTTACAACCCTCTTGCAAAATACAAAGACGAAGTGGATGCTGCTATCAAGGCCAAAAAAACATTTACGGTTAAAGGTAAATTGACTTGTTTTATTAAACCTCTAAAGAAATTTTTAAATGGCTTTGGATTGCTTGATCCATTCAGCCACGATAGATCAATTAATTTGCTATACATATATCTACTTACGCATACACATATACATACTCGGTATTAATAAATAAAAAAAATACAAAAATTGATGTGAAAACATTAAAACCCTTAAAACACTATGTCATACTGAAACCATTGTAAGTAGTAAACCAACTAATTTTTGCAATAGATTAATCTATTAATTAGCAGATAGTGCATGCTAATCTGCGTAGTAAAATAAGTATATATTAACGTACTCGTGAAAGTTCAGTCCCATGTTAGTGCTTCTTTGATTAACATCGTTGTGTATACATCGAATTTTTTTTGATACAAGAAAATGGACATCAAATCTGTGTAAGTAACTTTTTGATAACTAATATAAATTATTTTTTTGTGTAGTATACGATTTTATTTATAAAAATATACTGAATTTTAAAAATATTGTAGTAGTTCGTCTTTTTTTAATGTGTTATTATTTTAGGGTGTAAAAAACTGCGAAAAAAATTGCCACATGGCAACCAGAGTCTCTTTCACTACCAATTATCGAATGTTTTTATTTTATTTTAGACGAGGCTTGAATAGGCGCTACCCAGATATATTTTGTATTTTTACTAAAAAGGTAGGTGATAAAGTTTTAATTACTTATAGGTAAATTGGGAAAAGAACTGAGATTTAGAAACAACTGCCAGGCCATTTCCAGCATCCAGCTACGAAGTATAGTATTTTATAATGATTTTGATGTTGATTTTGAATTACCTAGCCAAAATACTATTGGGATGTTTAAATTCAAATACCCATATTAATCGATACAATTTTTTTTCCTTTAAACCTACGATTTCTATAGTACCGATCGGAGAATGGATCTCGCGATCGAGGACATGGGTGTCGATAAGATGGAACAACGCAACTCGAAAGTGGTCCAATCTTAACTTTGTTTTGTTGGTGGTTTCGTAAAATAGTGTTAAAATGTTACCGGTAAGTCCACACCTAGTTTTACCTTAACCTATACATTGTTTTGATTGTTTATTGGAACCATTTAAAATTACGATAAGTCGATGATAAAATATTTCGGTAAACACTCTTGTAAATAATTTATAAGGGAAAACCCATCCGCTTCATGTTCACAGTCTGGTGTATAAATACAAAATCTAGTTATTTGGTCAATTTCAATATATAACAAAGGAATAATCCGAATTCCAATGAAGAATATCAAAAAGTATTTGATAAGCCTTGCCCATCACTTGATTCGAAGTTAAATGATACAAGTATGATATGAATAATGGAGTAACCCCACATAAAAAACACCTGCGTTACTCAGTGTGTTTTATAATTTATTCACTAGTTTATCTTTACTAAATTTTTTAAAATATGAAGGTTACGACGGAACTGGAACCATAAGGGCAAATCGTATCCCAAGAAACTGTCTTCTGAAAAATAAAATCCAGAGGAAACAAGTGGATCGAGGTGACCATGACTCTGCTCTTGACAAATAAAATTGAATAACTGTTATTCGTTGGGCTGACAATAATGTAGTCAGAGTTGCATTAAGAAAGTTGCCGCTACAGAAAGTAAAAAGTTTCCCAAAAAGAAAAGAAAAATATTTTAATTCTAAGAGCACATTTTATTGATAAAAACAAATTTAGCAATGGGAGAGACAGATACCAGAGACAATTACCAAACAAAATTAGTATAATTGAATAAGTATATTACAATAATTGTAGTTTCGCATTTAGTTAATAAATATTCTAACGTTTGCCTCTGGTTTATTGTCAAAAAAGTTCACGTTGACGTAAAAACAATTAAATAATTAAAAAAATCAACGTTTTGACAAGTAACCAGAGGCGGAGGTTTTATTATTTATTAATTAAATGTGAAACTACAATTTTAATATTTATTTAAATAATTCACCAACATGAGATTAAACTCAAATAAAATTAGCATAATTAAATAAGTATTTTCAATACCTTTCAAACGAGGTATCACTTGCAATAAGGTCCTATTTAAAATTATCTGTCACAGTGGCGCTGTAACGTCATCTGTGACTATTACGTCACTTGTTATGACTAGTTAAGAAGTTAACGTCTGTTTATTACCTCCCTCAAAATTTCACTATTATAACAATAATCGTTCAAAAGATACGAGGGGGGAACGGACTTTTGACTAGCATTGTATATTTGCCATTTACTTGGCAATTATAATAGGACAAACTTTTCTTAATTGGCTCCCATTTTTATGGTCCCGGTCCACAATATTTTTATTAATTAAATCTATGACATAAGGAGTTTATATTTCTGTTTTCTACGCAAATATTGCAAGAAACTACAAAAATTATCAGTTGACAAAAATGATAAAACTGAAATGTGATTTTCTTAGCATAGTTTCTGGAATGGTTATATATATTATATATATATATATATATATAATATATATATATATATATATATATATATATATATATATATATATATAGAGTTTGTATAACGACGCTAAAATACAATTCTATGGAGGGTAACTTTCGGGAAAGCGTCAAAACAAGGATCAGCTAGAGATGGTAAAAGCCAGTTTGGTGTAGAACTTTATTCTAAATGTGAAATTTTCGGTGATATGTTGTCACCTTCATCAGCACCTAAATGGAAAACCTATTTTAGTACAAGTGGTGGAAATTAACATTTAAAACCTACATTGAAAATGTTCAGTTGGTCCTAGAGGTGAAGAACACTGTCACAAACATGTTAAAAATATTAAAAAATACATTTAAAATTTTGAATAAAAACATTACAACACAACAGGGTATTATTTAAAATACAAACACAACAAAAATCTAAAAATTGTTGCAGTTTTTGTAGGTTGTAATTTTTAGATTTTTGTTGTGTTTGTATTTTAAATAATACCCTGTTGTGTTGTAATGTTTTTATTCAAAATTTTAAATGTATTTTTTAATATTTTTAACATGTTTGTGACAGTGTTCTTCACCTCTAGGACCAACTGAACATTTTCAATGTAGGTTTTAAATGTTAATTTCCACCACTTGTACTAAAATAGGTTTTCCATTTAGGTGCTGATGAAGGTGACAACATATCACCGAAAATTTCACATTTAGAATAAAGTTCTACACCAAACTGGCTTATACCATCTCTAGCTGATCCTTGTTTTGACGCTTTCCCGAAAGTTACCCTCCATAGTATATATATATATATATATATATATATATATATATATATATATATATATACATATATATATATATATATATATATATATATATATATATATATATACATATATATATATATATATAGAAATGATGTTTCTAAGTCCAAGAACAATATTTTTAAAAAATAACTTTATTGACAAGGGACTACTTACTACAGTAAAATGCAAAATAAGAGTGACGCTATACAATGCAAAAGTAAATTAAGTAAGCTCGGTGACGCCGAGGTGTAGCGTGCTGACGCTGTCCTTTTATTATAGTTGAATTAGCAGTTCTGGTTTCTTAACTCCTCCGGGGCTAGATGAGAACTATGGGGTGGCATAGTTCGAAGAAATGGAAAATTATCTGGTACCTTTTTTTCTTGTTCTGTGGATTGTTTTGGTGATTCTTGATTTGTCCTTTTTCTGTATATTCGCCAAATGGTGTAGACAAGGAAAATGATTGCTAAGACATATAAAATTATGGTATAAAAACTGACATGTTGAAAATGAACAGGAACTGTGTCTAGATTGTCTATTTTGTTTTCTTGATCTGCTAAAGCACTTTGGACATTATTTAATTCATCTAATTTTATCGATTCTATTTTGATTGGTTTAAGGTTTGGATCACTGACCGGCGTTTTTAGTAATACTTCTAAAGTTGGCAGTTCCATTTTAACAAAATTTGGAGTTTTTAGTTCAAATGTTTTTAAAACGTAATTGTCTATATATATTTCGCACGCACTATTGAGTTCGATCAAGTAACTACCGTTTAATGGAATATTGTCCGAATTCTTATCGCATTTTTGAATACTAATCACTTTGTTTCGCGTTATTACGATCCACTTATTGTTTTCTAGTTTTTGAATTTTTATATTATTAATTTCTATTGGCACTGATTGACATTGATTTACAAACTTTGAGTACTGTATGAGATGAACTTCGCAAGGGGCTGTTGGTGTTACTTCAATTGACTGGACATCGTGGCATAAATATTCTTCTTCTACCAATTTTTGACATTGAACGTTGGCAAGTGCATATTGGTATCGATTGGAAAGTAGGAATTTGGATTTTGGAATAATTGTTCTAAAATGAGTTTGGTATCTGGTCGGAAAGGAATAAAGATGATAATAATCATAGTCATTGATCTCAACAATAGGCAATTCAAGTACAAAAATTATTTTATTTGCTTTACTATAACTTTTTATCTTAATTATTTTTTCGAACAACAAAATATTTTGCAAAGATAATTCAAAAGGGAGTTTGTTATTTTTAAGAAATTTACTGATGTTTAAAATTTCGAGAAATAGTTCATTTGGGTCGGCTATTGAATTATGAAAGGTATTTAGTTTTGAAAAGCTGATAGCAACTTCGATTTTTTCTAATAGGTCATAAATAATTTGGAAACTAGTGTAAAATTGCGATACAAGTCTTTCTAGTGCAAAATAATGAAATGTCTCAACTTTTTCTATCTTTATATCTTTAATTAACTTTTGAACTTCTGTTATTCGTGAGCTTAAAATTAACTGGTTATGGGCTAAGATTTTTGTATTATTTTCAAAATTCTTTATTGAGGATCTTAATAAGGTGATTTGATTTTTAACTATAGTTTTAATATTATTTTGATTATTTGTAAGGGTTGATATAGCGTCGTCGTAACGTTTTGCATCGTTTTGGTCTAGGTTTCCGGTTATAAATTTGATTGCGGAGCCTACACCATCAAATAGAGATCTTTTTGATCTGGTATTCCAAAAGG